TCCGATTGATTGATATTGACAACTGAGGTAATTTCTTTCGAGACATGTGTGTGGCCCTTAAAAGGGCCTTTTGTTGTCCTTAAAAGGACAGTTTTCAGCCATTCACGTATCTGTTTTACACAGCACGCGTTTGTTAATCTGGCCCTGAATTTTTTTGTGCCCGTTTGTGTTAAGATGGACCTTGTCTGTGTGGTAGTCCTTACAGTATTTAATATCATTGAATCGAATTAAATATTCTTTGATTTTTTTCGCCAGCCTTTTATTAATGTATTTTATTTGATTTCCGAAGCGCTCTTTAGTCAAACCCGGTGCTTTAGAAAATTCGCCTCTGGTCAAAATTTCACAAATATAAACTTTTTTAACCCCAGATGCCTTTAAATTATCCACAAGAATTTGGATTCTACTGACGATTTCGTTCGGGAATGATGTAGCTGTTATGTCATTACCGCCTACATTCAGAACTACAACATCTGCGTTTCGGCGCAGCAGACGAGAATATAGGGCATGGTCCATATGGTCGGTTCTTAGACCGCCTTTAAAACACCAATGCACGTGGATCTTCGGCACAGTGATAGTGAAGACGTTTGATATAACTGTCACCAATTAGTACGACTTTAGCCATTGTAAGACAGACTGTAATCAGTACGCAATAACTATCTATAGTAGTTTATAAATATCTAAACTGACCTGAAAATGTCATATTTTAATGTTTGAATGAAGTAAACTGTTAACACAATGTAAACACCTACCTGCATAAATAGTGCCTGAAGTAATTATATATCAATCACGATTTGTATACAGCCGTAAGTGTGAAAAATAGCATACCTACTCCTTAGATAGTCTCTTGTTAATTCGTTCAATTATATACATTAGAATATAAAATATTTTTTTTTTCCAATTTCAAATTTTATTGCCTGAAACATTATACAATGTTTATAGCATATAAACAACATAAACATATATATATATACATATATATGCAAGCATTGCATGACAACAACATCTACAACTATAAAGAATGTCATTCCTAGAATGATGTGATGCATGCATGCGTATGTATGCATGCATGCGTATGTATGTATAGTTCGACATTTAAATTTGCACGTGAAAGTCGTGCATAACAGTTATCTACAACTATAAAGAATGTCATTCCTAGAATGATGTGAAATGTATTATTGGAATGTCATTCATAGATTTGACAATGTTTTCAAACAAAAGACACAGTAAATAAAAAGGGAGAAACACATTAACAACAACATCATAAATAACAAGCCGTGCGTAGGTTTCGAACCTATTTGTTCAAATCATTTAAAGTAAACAGTGACGTTGATTTACCACCTGAGCTATCACGATGTTAGAATTAAACTATATGAGTCGCGTCACGACAAAACCAACGTAATGCGTTTGCGACCAGCATGGGTCCAGACCAGCCTGGGCATCCGCGCAGTCAGATCAGGATCCATGCTGTTCGCTTACAAACCCTATAACAAGTAGAGAATCTGATAGCGCACAGCATGTGTGTGGATGCGCAGGCTGGTCTGGATCCATGCTGGTCGCAAACCCATTATGTTGGTTTTGTCATGGCGCGGCTCTTATCTAGTTGTTGACACTTTCGTTTTCGGATAATATGCAGAATTACCCTTTTAATGGTTCCCAACAATATACAACAATATACATAGAACACATATAACATGATTTAAAAAGTACATTGCCACTCATATGTTGAGTTATAAAAGACTTTAGTAACAATTCAACGAATAAAGAGACTTACGTAATTACTGCTATATATTATGGTGGCATATTTCTGCCACCAGATAACCTGATAACAAACTAGTTAATTAAGAGGTTAACTAGTTACGTAACTAGTTAACCTGATAATTAACTAGTTAATTAAGAGGTTAACTAGTTACGTAACTAGTTAATTTTTTCAATAAAGAAAAGATCATAACGGGAAATAAATGCATGTTAGTGCCTGCAACTGCCATCCTTTTACTATATCATCATCTTAAAATTAAGAGGTTAATTAGTTACGTAACTAGTTAACCTCTTGATTATCTAGTTAATTATCAGGTTAACTAGTTACGCAAATACCTAACTAGTTAACCTGATAAATAACTAGTTAATTAAGAGGTTAACTAGTTACATAAAAACGTAACTAGTTAACCTGATAAATAACTAGTTAGTTAAGAGGTTAACTAGTTACGCAAATACCTAACTAGTTAACCTGATAAATAACTAGTTAATTAAGAGGTTAACTAGTTACGTTTTTACGTAACTAGTTAACCTCTTAACTAACTAGTTATTTATCAGGTTAACTAGTTACGTAACTAGTTAACCTGATAATTAACTAGTTAAGTATTAGGTTAACTAGTTAGGTATTTTCGTAACTAGTTAACCTGATAATTAACTAGTTAATTAAGATGTTAACTAGTTACATAAAAACGTAACTAGTTAACCTGATAAATAACTAGTTAGTTAAGAGGTTAACTAGTTACGCAAATACCTAACTAGTTAACCTGATAAATAACTAGTTAATTAAGAAGTTAACTAGTTACGTAACTAGTTAACCTGATAATTAACTAGTTAAGTATTAGGTTAACTAGTTAGGTATTTTCGTAACTAGTTAACCTGATAATTAACAAGTTAATTAAGAGGTTAACTAGTTAAGTATTTATTTAACTAGTTAACCTATTAATTAACTAGTTAATTATCAGGTTAACTAGATACGTAACTAGTTAACCTCTTAATATTAAGCTGACAATAAGGGATGGCAGTTTGCAGGCACTAACATGCATTTTTTTCCCGTTATGATCTTTTCTTTATTGAAAAAATTAACTAGTTACGTAACTAGTTAACCTGATAATTAACTAGTTAATTAAGAGGTTAACTAGTTACGTAACTAGTTAACCTCTTAATTAACTAGTTAATTATCAGGTTATCTGGTGGTAGAAATATGCCACCATAATATATACTATATGCATGCTTATATCGTTAAAGCTAAGAAGCAGACGCTAATCGTTAAATAAAAAAATCATTAAAATACACGACGATAAAAAGCTGAATGTGGAAAAAAGGCACTATTGGGCAATTCAAAAAAATGTGTTAAAGAATCAGATATCACCCCGATGAACAGATTAGCATCTACTTCCAAGGAGAAGATAAGCAAGGTGATATACAATGCATGACACCGGAGATAATGAAGATAGTCAGAATTTCCTTAAAGGGACTTCACTTGAACTATGCGTGGATAGATGTACGATTTTCGGGCGCTATAAAGATAATTTTATGTATGGAAAACATTTTTTTCTCGCTATTGTTACTTATATTACTATTTCATTAACTAAAATTACGATGTATTTCAAAATAATTTTGGTTTAGATAAACATTAAACCTTCCGGACGCTTTGTCGGTATACGGTGGTTTTTGAGCAAGTGAACTGGAGTCGAAGGTATGTTAGTTTTTTATATAAATAGAAAAAAAATGATAATAAAGATTATTTTTTTCTACCACAAATACCTCAATACATAATAATATACATTATTTACAATAAATATAACCCTTCTGACTGTTTAAATTAAAATTAGTGCTTCGGGACGCTTCATGACATTTCGGGACGCTAAATTTCTTCGGGACGCTTTGTTAACGCAACATGGGAAACGTCAGTTTTCGCGCTATATAATAATATTTTGTGGATGAAATGTTTATTTCCTTCTTTATGTCACTTACACATATCGTAAAGAACTTAATAACGATTTATCTTTGCTTAGATAAAAATAAAAACCATGAATACGTTTCGGGACGCTATGTTAGTCAGTTTGCAACTTGAAACATGCGTGGATAGACGTACGATTTCGGGCGCCATAAAGATAATTTTATGTATGGAAAACATTTTTCTTATTCTTTTTACTTACATAACTATTTCATTAACTAAAATTACGAAGTATTTCAAAACAATTTTGGTTTCGATAAACATTAAACCTTCCGGACGCTTTGTCGGTATACGGTGGTTTTTGAGCAAGTGAACTGGAGTCGAAGGTATATTAGGTTTTTTTTATATAAATAGAAAAAAAATGATAAGTAAGATTATTTTTTTCTACCACAAAAACCTCAATACATAATAATATACATTATTTACAATAAATATAACCCTTCTGACTGTTTAAATTAACAATAATGCTTCAGGACGCTTCATGACATTTCGGGACGCTAAATTCTTCGGGACGCTTTGTTAGCGCAACATGGGAAACGTCAGTTTTCGCGCTGTAAAATAATATTTTGTGGATGAAATGTTTATTTCCTTTTTAATGTCACTTACACATATCATAAAAGAACTTAATTACGATTTATCTTTGCTAAGATAAAAATAAAAACCATGAATACGTTTCGGGACGCTATGTTAGTCAGTACGCGACTTGAACTATGCGTGGATAGATGTACGATTTCGGGCGCTATAAAGATAATTTTATGTATGGAAAACATTTTTTCTCGCTATTTTTACTTACATAACTATTTCATTAACTCAAATTACGAAGTATTTCAAAATAATTTTGGTTTAGATAAACATTAAACCTTCCGGACGCTTTGTCGGTATACGGTGGTTTTTGAGCAAGTGAACTGGAGTCGAAGGTATGTTAAGTTTTTTTATATAAATAGAAAAAATGATAAGTAAGAATATTTTTTTCTACCATAAATACCTCAGTACATAATAATACAGCTCATTTACAATAAATATAACCCTTCTGGCTGTTTAAATTAACAATAATGCTTCGGGACGCTTCAGGACGCTTCGGGACGCTAAAATCCTTCGGGACGCTTTTTAGTGAGACCCGAACTTTTGGCTAGAAGTACTGGCTTGTACGGCTAGCTACTGCTTTAGTCTAGGGGAGAATAGTCTGTCATTCCCAATAATAAATGCTGTTCATCTTAGATCGTATTGACATTTATAAAAACACAAATAAAAAAACCAGTCTAATTATAAACCTTGCATAACTAAATCATACCTTTGCATTTCTCCTATCAACAGGTTCACCTTCCAGTATCAACCATTGTCCTTCCTCGGTTTTGTTTTCAAAACTTATCTCGATTTGATGCATTTTTTCGATCTTGTCCTTAAATTGATTTATTTGATTAACATCATCTGTACTGATAAAAAATTCATCTTTCACCTGAGTATTTGGCTTTCTAGTATACTTTTGGACATATCTTGAAGCTGCCGCCATAACTGATTTTTTTTTTCCTCACAAGGCCAATTGTTTCTAAATTAGAATTCTGGTCTCAAATTATCAGTCGTCACACTTGGAAAAGAAGCAATAATTTGCAATAGAGCAAAAGGTAAACATATCAATATATTTAGACTAGGTTTTATTTCGTAATGAACTAAAAATAAACATTATCACAAATTGAAATGACTTTGTTTTCATTCTCCACTTTCCAATAGACCGATTTCTTCATTGAACGGTGCATCGCGTAAGAAAGATGCAAACGTGAAAATCAACACCGCCAAATCGTTTTTCGTGTGGTTTTCGTATTTATGGTAATCAAATTTTATTTGATGACGGCGGAATGTTTTTCTGATCATTTATAGAATCTTAATACTTCCGTGCATTTTGCTTCCTACTGAAACCTTTGTGTTTATGGGTACTTGCCAGGATAATATAACAATTCGACTTACTGACGATTCGCCCCACAACGATTTCGACCCATATTTTAATTAATCTTTATGCTCAACGTAGATTTTAGATATATTTGCTTTGCATTATATGAAATTAGGCAAAGCCTATGAACGGGGAAGATGCTTAAAAAAATAGTTCATTTTTCCATTAGGTATTTTATGCACCTCTTCCGTTTTCACTTGAAATACTTGAGGTATATTATCACAGATATATATATACAATATTTAGCTCCATGATACGATATGTCTTAATATCGAATATGAATTCATATTTGCGAATATGAACAGGAGTAACATATCTGAATATTTTCATAAAATCAGCTCTTATGGGATTTATCAGGTCTGCCGTCTAGGATTTTATGATGTCTGTAAATTTATAGATTAGAATTTTTTAATTCATAAATTTACAGATATTCAATGTTAAATTTGCCATTTTTATTTTACACTAAAATCTGCAGCTTAAGACAAGTTGTTTTATTGATTGTTTATATTTAAAAAGGTAATGGTGTGAGTTTCATCTTGAAATTTTTGTTAAAAGTGAAAATTGAAAGTCTTAAAATTGTTCTGAATCTCAATACCATACTGTTACATTTATTCATATGATATGTAATCTTATTAATTTTAACCTGCGGTTTTGAATTTGAATGCAACTTCTAGTTTTTTCTTACTTATATCTGTAAATTTACAGATAAAAAAATCTGTAAAATTATGGATCGTCCGAAAATTTACGGACAGTCCATAAATATCATGAAATCCTAGACCTGCTTATTTCGTCAACAGAGACTATTATTTACTTGTATCATATGTATTTTAATGAAAGAAAATAAATTTCTGATTTTGGTTGTAAATTAATTACTGTGACCAGAAAGATACCCGAATATGAATGAGAATGATGAACATGAACCTTATTATTATATCAGTATATAAATTAGCTCACAAAAGTATAGAAATAGATATTTCAAACTATAACTTACATTTATGATGGTTAATATTTGCTGGGTAAAATTTAACATTAGATTTATTATATATAAGGCCATCCTTAAAAAAATGTTTGTTTGCAGTAACCCGACCCAGAATTTTCAAGGTGGGTACTAAGGTAGGTCGATTTTTTTTTTTTTTTTTTTTTTTTTTTTTTATTGAACTGTACTCCCAAATAAACATGGAATTTCAAAATGCTGGACAATATATGCTTTGATAATCTGGTAACAATTAATAAATTGATAAATGAATTCTAATTAAATAATACCTACATTTTATTTCTTCTATTAACCTTTAAAAGAACAAAAACAAAGCACAAGGCATAATTTTCTGATTCAAAAAAAAATTTTTTTTTATCCAGACCATGAAAAAACCTTTTGAGTAGGGGCAAATTTTGTGAGTCGGTCGCGTTACTGCAAACAAACATTTTTTTAAGGATGGCCTAATTTAGCCACCTTGGCCAAAATACCGTTTATGAATACAAAAGTTTTTTTCGTTTTATTTCTAACGTTTTATATATAATAAAAATAATAGTCCTTTTGCCAAATTATTTCGGTCACTAATAAAAGCCGGAAAAAAACCTTGTTTTAACATAGATAAAAGTTTAAATTAGCAAAGTAATAAAGTTACTGTTTGACTGTGACTTGATACTATAAAAATTTAATTCATATTCGTGAATAAGAACGAGGATATGGTTTACCGATTGTGAATATTAAACAGATATAAATGAACTTTGTCTGAAATAGTTTTGTAAACAAAGACTTCAAATATTATTTACTTGCATCATGTCATTGAATAAAATTAAATGAATTTAATGCATTGGTTGCAAATTATTGTGACAAAATGACAAGAATACCAAATATGAACCATTATTTTGATACTGTATACATGTATATAAAAAACTACGCTTATGAAATATTATTTATACTTTTTTCACTAAGTTATATATTAATTATAGTGTAAATATTTGACCCTATGCCAAAATTTTATGAAAATGATATTCATAATTCAGTATTCTCTTCATATTGGCGAATACGAATTCATATCGGTATTTCGTCATACCTCCATGATATAATTAATAATATTATTAATCCAAAAAGTTGCGTTTGTTCTTTATCGGAATACCCTATTATCATTGAGTTACATTGAAAATGGTGGCGCCCAACTAGAACTGACACTGAAAACTTCATTGATAGATATTATTTTAGAATTCTATATATTCCAGTGTTTTTTTTCTTTATATAACTACTACCCTAAAACGGTACCATTCCCAATAGAAAATAGACATTAAAATTCCCAATTTCCAATGTAAAATTCCCAAAATGGCTGTTCAAAATGCCCACAAGGCCAAGTGATTTTTCTAAAATCAAGTCAATCCAACATATTCATATAAATTACCACCCAATAGTTCTATTTTGACAGTAGAAGCTGTTAGCTATCTTTATTCATGATGTCTAATCTCATTTGTAGCTGAAAAAATGCATTAAAAAAATTCCCAATTTTAGTCAAAATAACGCATTTTTTTCCCAATCAGTCTGGTACCGGCACCATTCCCAAAGTAGAGAAAAAAAACGCTGTATTCTTTAATTGTTTTTTATTTGATTTTCTTTTAAATATACACATGTAGTCTATAGCCGGGGAAGCCAAAGCCTGTGACTTCCCCATATTATTCTTTGAAAATCATATAGGTAAATCATTATAACTTTAAGATTGAATTTTTTGTTGAATTGTAATTTTCGTCAAACTGAATTTTCTCACAGCCACTTGGCGTTATGAGAATGGCTCACCTCTTTGAACTGCATTGTCGTAATACACCATGGATATTTTTTTTTTACTTCAAAATATTTTTGTATATTATTACGACCTTGTCTTGAACATGGAACTTGTTTTCCACTTGACTATTTTGACAATGTTGAAAAAAAACCAAACAACAACTCCCATTTCATAAAGATAACATATAACCCTTTTCTTTGATGTGAAAGGAAAGGAATGGTTTTCAGCACTGTTTGACGCATTTTATTTAGAGATCGGACATAATTCTCTAACAAATATAGCCTAATTAATTCAGCATGAACCGTTTGACCCATTTCACAGACTGTTTTTTCATACTGTCATTAATGGATATTTAAACAATTACTGTAAAAACATTCTAATGAACAGAGAGCAAATTGGGCCATATTTTATTTTGATTACCTTGAATCCACTCATGAAAATAAAGTCCATGCCCACATGTGGGAGATAGTTGAATGTTTCCTTTCCATACTGTTTTATACGAAGTTTTGTATTTTTCTGTGAGCCAACAAATTTGTCATGATTTCATAAACAAACATGTGTCATGTTGTGGAAAATGTTATTTATTGTGCAATTAGCTTGGAAGACATATGTCATTTTCTAAAACCTGAGATTTATGAATTGAAACTTTAAAACAATACCATGTACTCAGTAAGTCTTGACATAGGTAGATTTGGTTTATTCTAATAAACATTAACCTCAAGTGTGTGACCACGACCAACTGACAGACCTAAGCATTTTTGAAGCTATGTTCTTAATTATTTTGTCACTTATAGTTTATTTCTAGAAGAATACTTGACAATGTATGGCCATGGAATTCATCTTGTGACTTACCTTTTTATTTTTGGACATTCAGACAGTATAACTTTTCATGTGGCCAGTGACCTACTTCTACATTATATAAATAAGACCATGTCTAACAATATACCTCAAATGAGTTATATAAAACTGTTGAAATAGTGTGAAACGTCAAAGTGTTGGAATAACATTTTATCTTTGTTTTTTTCAGAGATGATACATGTATGATATATAGAGAGTGGTAGTCATGGTGATAGCTATAGGGTTCGAGGGCAGTGCTAACAAGCTAGGTATTGGTATAATAAGAGATGGAGAAGTGTTGTCTAACCCGAGAGATACTTACATCACACCACCTGGACAAGGTTAATATACCTCAATGAATTTATATAATGAACTTACTCTCTTTGAAAACTTTCCATGGTTAATCTTTATGATTATAAATGGAATTTTGCTAACAATTTGATTTGGATTCTGCCAAGGCTACTTGTGGCAGCTCAGTTAAATATGGAAAAATCCTTTATAATATTTATGCAGTATTCAGAATTTACATTATATGCACAGTGTATTGAACAAAATCAGCCAGCTATTGGTCAGATTGCCATACTGTAGTTTTATCTGGTAGTAAATTTAAGACATACTTTCCTGTGATTCTTTTTTACATAATAAAAACATGTTAATGCAACACTAGCATTATACCTTTATCATATGTAAATAAATGTTTTCATAAAATTTTTGCATGCCAATTATTTGACATTTTACATTCAGGAAGGGTTTTTACCACAAGATACAGAACCATAAAATTATCTGATATGTATGCAGGGTTTTTACAACTAGATTCACCACTATTTGTACTATCTTATATCTGCAGGGTTTTTACCACTAGATTCACCACTTTTTGTAACATCTTATATGTTCAGGGTTTTTACCACTTGATTCATCACTATTTGTAACATCTTATATGTTCAGGGTTTTTACCACTAGATTCACCACTTTTTGTATCATCTTATATGTTCAGGGTTTTTACCACTAGATTCACCACTTTTTGTAAAATCTTATATGTTCAGGGTTTTTACCACTTGATTCATCACTATTTGTAACATCTAATATGTGCAGGGTTTTTACCACTAGATTCACCACTATTTGTAATATCATATATGTGCAGGGTTTTTACCACTAGATTCACCACTATTTGTAATATCTTATATGTGCAGGGTTTTTACCACTAGATTCACCACTATTTGTAACATCTTATATGTGCAGGGTTTTTACCACTTGATTCGTCACTATTTGTAACATCTTATGTGCAGGGTTTTACCACTTGATTCACCACTATTTGTAATATCTTATATGTGTAGGGTTTTACCACAAGATCCACCACTATTTGTAACATCTTATATGTGTAGGGTTTTTTACCACTAGATTCACCACTATTTGTAACATCTTATATGTGCATGGTTTTTACCACTTGATTCATCACTATTTGTAACAGCTTATGTGCAGGGTTTTTACCACTAGATTCACCACTATTTGTAATATCTTATATGTGCAGGGTTTTTACCACTAGATTCACCACTATTTGTAACATCTTATATGTGCAGGGTTTTTACCACTTGATTCGTCACTATTTGTAACATCTTATGTGCAGGGTTTTACCACTTGATTCACCACTATTTGTAATATCTTATATGTGTAGGGTTTTACCACAAGATCCACCACTATTTGTAACATCTTATATGTGTAGGGTTTTTTACCACTAGATTCACCACTATTTGTAACATCTTATATGTGCAGGGTTTTTACCACTAGATTCACCACTATTTGTAATATCTTATATGTGCAGGGTTTTTACCACTAGATTCACCACTATTTGTAATATCTTATATGTGCAGGGTTTTTACCACTAGATTCACCACTATTTGTAACATCTTATATGTGCAGGGTTTTTACCACTTGATTCGTCACTATTTGTAACATCTTATGTGCAGGGTTTTACCACTTGATTCACCACTATTTGTAATATCTTATATGTGTAGGGTTTTTTACCACAAGATCCACCACTATTTGTAACATCTTATATGTGCAGGGTTTTTACCACTAGATTCACCACTATTTGTAACATCTTATATGTGCAGGGTTTTTACCACTTGGTTCATCACTATTTGTAACATCTTATATGTGCAGGGTTTTTACCACTAGATTCATCACTATTTGTAACATCTTATATGTGCAGGGTTTTTACCACTAGATTCACCACTATTTGTAATATCTTATATGTGCAGGGTTTTTACCACAAAGATCACTACTATTTGTAACATCTTATATTTGCAGGGTTTTTACCACTAGATTCACCACTATTTGTAACATCTTATATGTGCAGGGTTTTACCACTTGATTCACCACTATTTGTAATATCTTATATGTGTAGGGTTTTTACCACAAGATCCACCACTATTTGTAATATCTTATATGTGCAGGGTTTTTACCACGAGATACTGCTAAGCACCATCAAGCTGTGGCACTAGAAGTTTTACATAAAGCACTGAAGGAGGCTTGTCTTAAACCACAAGATATTGATGTTATATGTTACACAAAAGGCATGATATTTAATTTCTGTTTTATAAACATGAATTAGATTTAATGGAATATTACTTTATGAGTGTTTTATAAACATGAATTAGATTTTATGGAACATTACTTTATAAAGTCTGTGCTATCATTATTTTAACATACCTTGAGTTTATTTTTGCACCAGATAGATTTTATCAAATAACTTTTGTAAAAATAAGTGGAAAATGTTAGAAGTTGGAAAGCATGATTGTTAAACTGTTTAACTTGTTGGATTCATATATTTCCTTCTTGTTGCCATTTATACTGTTCAGTTACAGACTATTTTTCTTTTTTACAGGGCCAGGTATGGGAGCACCGTTGGTTTCAACAGCTCTTGTCGCTCGTACTGTTGCCCAGTTGTGGAATAAACCAATAGTAGCTGTAAATCATTGTATTGGACGTATCCTTGATCAACTTGCTGTTCTATTATGTTTATGATACTTTTCCTTATTATCCCCGTCAAAGGTTAATGGACATAGATTTGTCTTTTGTCCATCTCGATTTTTGTCTGTCAGAGCTGAAAATAGGTGAGGCATTCTTTGCTGAGTGGTTAAGGTTGTTAATTTAAAACTGCTTGTCCTGACTGCTGTTGATTCGAACCCCGACTGGGACTGGATTCTTTCATGTGAGGAAACAATGCAGCTAGTTTACGGAACATTAGTGGTTCTACTCTGGTGCCCTTGTGTGCCTGAAATAATGCACCAGTGGGCACCTGAGGTAAAACTGGGAAGTTGCAATATGACCAATACTATGTTGGGTGTGAATGCAAGGTAACCCCACCCCCCACCCCCCCTGTCCCCCAAATAAAAGAAGAATAGAAAAGAAGAGAAAAATAGGTACTTAGATTACGATGAAAATTATAGGTAACAGTAAATTTTCTTTGATTCAGTAAAGGGCTAATGTGGTAAGTGTATCACAGAGGTAAATGTGTCATAGTGGTAAATTATTCATAGTGATATATGCATCACAGATGTATATGTATCACACAGGTAAATATATCACAGAGATTAAACATGTCATAGTGGTAATTGAATCATAGTGATGTATGTATCACAGATGTAAATGTATCACAGAGATAAAACATGTCATAATGGTAAATATATCAAAGTGATATATGTATCAAAGTGATATATGTATCATAGTGATATATGTATCACATAGGTAAATGTATCACAGTGGTAAATGTACCATAGTGGTAAATGTATCATTATGGTAAACAGGCCATAGTGGTAAATGTATCATTATGGTAAACAGGCCATAGTGGTAAATGTATCATTATGGTAAACAGGCCATAGTGGTAAATGTATCACAGTGGTAAATGTATCATAGTGGTAAATGTATCATTTTGGGAAATGTGTCATAGATGAGAATGTTTCAAAATGGTAAATGTATCACAGTGGAAAATGTGCCAGAGACTGATCCTGTAGTAAGGTATGAATTATTTTTCCTTGACTGTGTTAAGATATAGAAATGGGACGCTTAGTGACAGGAGCAGAGAACCCAACAGTTTTGTATGTTAGTGGTGGTAATACACAGGTATATTAAAGGCACATTATGCCAAACATGTGCTTAATTAAGTTTTAATAATGGATTAAGGGCATGTAAGATGTTTAACAACTGATAAATTAACACTGAACATGTAGGTATGTGTCATAAAGAAACAAAAAGTAAACAAAGTACTAGTATTTTGACTTCAATACGAAATAATAATTTACTTAGCCAAAAAAACAAAAGCGGCCAAATATGGAAAATAAGTATTCTATGAAAACTGTAACAAGATGCAAAAAATAAAAAAAACGTTTTTGAGAAACAAAACTGATAGCATTTCTGAGACATAATGGGCCTTTCCATTCATTGATAACATTGTAATGTATAACTTTATATTTTATTGTTTAAATACTCCTTTACATCTTAATGACATACCCCTAAGCATTTTTATGCCCCCACAATGTGGGAGCATATAGCGTTGCACTTGTCCGTCCGTCCGTCAATCCGTCAGTCAGTCAGTCAGTCCGTCCGTCCGTCCGTCCGTACGTCCCGAAATCTTGTGAACGCAACTCCTCTTAAACCGGATGGCAGATTTTGCTTAAACTTACAGGGATGAACAACCTTAATGTGTAGATGGTAGTAAAGGAAGGAATTTTCGCTGTGACCAAATTTAACAGAATTATGGCCCTTTGTTGATTTTTTCACTAGATACTATGTAGAAATTTTGTGAACGCAACTCCTCTTAAACCTGTTGGCAGATTTTGCTTAAACTTACAGGGATGAACAACCTTAATGTGTGGATGGTAGTAAAGGAAGGAATTTTTGTTGCGACCAAATTTAACAGAATTATGGCCCTTTGTTGATTTTTTCATTATATACTATGTAGAAATTTTGTGAACGCAACTCCTCTTAAACCGGATGGCAGATTTTGCTTAAACTTACAGGGATGAACAACCTTAAGGTGTAGATGGTAGTAAAGGAAGGAATTTTTGCTGTGACCAAATTTTACAGAATTATGGCCCTTTGATGATTTTTTCACTATATACTTTGATGTAGAAATTTTGTGAATGCAACTCCTCTTAAATCGGATGGCAGATTTTGCTTAAACTTCCAGGGATTTACAACCTTAATGTATAGATGGTAGTAAAGGAAGGAATTTATGCTGCGACCAAATTTAACAGAATTATGGCCCTTTGTTGATTTTTAGTTTTCAAGTTGTGGCACATGTAGTCCAAAAAATATTTGACCTAGAGTCATAAGATTGACAGAACAGTGGCGTGTGGGGGCATCCGTGTCCTATGGACACATTTCTAGTTATCATTGAAATACAGTGCAATCCCACACAAACAAAATAACTGTATTGATGATAGAGATTTTAATACCTTAGCATAATATAGACACTCTTTCTATACAAGTTGATCTTAATTAGTTTGGTATTATGCCATCACATTAAATTACAACATTGTTGTGAATTTGGCTAAATATTTCTTGATGATTTTATTATTAAACTTAGGATTAAGCTTTTTTTACTTAGTACTTGATTGTTGTATGAGGTATTTCTTTCCTGTTAAGAGTTGAGCCGTGTCACGACAAAACCAACATAATGCGTTTGCGACCAGCATGGATCCAGACCAGCCTGCGCATTCGCGCAGTCTGATCAGGATCCATGCTGTTCGCTTACAAACCCTATAACAAGTAGAGAAACTGATAGCGAACAGCATGGATCCTGATCAGACTGCGTGGATGCGCAGGCTGGTCTGGATCCATGCTGGTCGCAAACCCATTATGTTGGTTTTGTCATGGCGCGGCTCAGTTGTTTTACAATCGTTTATATGTTGCAACCTAAATATTGATGTTTTCCAGGTGATAGCATATTTACAGAAAAGATATAGAATATTTGGAGAGACAATTGATATAGCAGTTGGTAACTGTCTTGATAGATTTGCTAGAGTATTAAAGGTATATATATAATATACATTTAACTGTTTGTTTATTTCTAGTGTTAACCAGTCCAGACCCAGGCCAGCTTGAACATCTGTTCATCCCGTTTTTTCTCATCTGTATAAAATCATGCCAGCTTGAAAATCTGTTCATTGTGACTTTTGTCCCTGGTATAGAGTCAGGCCAACTTGACCCTTTGTACATTCTGAATGATATAATTTTAACTTAAACCAGGAAACTAAGTTTTTATAATGTAATTTGGACTATATAATTACATGCAAGTGTTAATGCATGAAAACTTTACACTTATTTTTAGCTCACCTGTCACAAAGTGACAGGGTGAGCTTTTGTGATCGCTTTTCGTCCGGCGTCCGTCCGTCCGTCCGTCCGTCGTCCGTCCGTCGTCCGTCCGTAAACTTTTGCTTTAAATGACATCTCCTCATAAACCACTGAGCCAATTTCATCCAAACTTCACAGGAATGTTCCTTTGGTGGTCACCTTTAAAAATTGTTCAAAGAATTTAATTCCATGCAGAACTCTGGTTGCCATGGCAACCGAAAGAAAAATCTTTAAATATCTTCTTTTAAACAACCCTAAGAGCTAGAGCTTAGATATTTGGCATGAAACATCTTCTAATGAGTGTCTACCAAGTTTGTTCAAATAAAAGCCCTGGGGTCAAAATTGGCCCCGCCCCCGGGGGGTCATTGATTTTCCCTATATGCATATAGTAAAAACTTAAAAGATCTTCTTTTAAAGAACTGTAAGAGCTAGAGCTAAGATTTTTGGCATGGAACATCTTCTAGTGAGTGTCTACCAAGTTTGTTCAAATAAAAGCCCTGGGGTCAAAATTGGCCCCGCCCCGGGGGGTCATTGATTTTCCCTATATGCATATAGTAAACACTTAAAAAATCTTCCTTTAAAGAACTGTAAGAGCTAGAGCTTAGATATTTGGCATGAAACATCTTCTAGTGAATGTCTACCAAGTTTGTTCAAATAAAAGCCCTGGGGTCAAAATTGGCCCCGCCCCAGGGGGTCATTGATTTTCCCTATATGCATAAAGTAAAAACTTAAAAAATCTTCTTTTAAAGAACCCAAAGAGCTAGAGCTTAGATATTTGGCATGAAACATCTTCTAGTGAATGTCTACCAAGTTTGTTCAAATAAAAGCCCTGGGGTCAAAATTGGCCCCGCCCTGGGGGGTAATTGATTTCCCTATATGCATATAGTTTAAACTTAAAAAATCTTCTTTTAAAGAACCGTAAGAGCTAGAGCTTAGATATTTGGCATAAAACATCTTCTAGTAAATGTCTACCAAGTTTGTTCAAATAAAAGCCCTGGGGTCAAAATTGGCCCCGCCCCAGGGGGTCATTGATTTTCCCTATATGCATATAGTAAAAACTTAAAAAATCTTCTTTTAAAGAACTGTAAGAGCTAAAGCTTATATATTTGGCATGAAACATCTTCTAGTGAATGTCTACCAAGTTTGTTCAAATAAAACCCCTGGGGTCCAAATTGGCCCCTCCCCAGGGGTCATTGATTTTCCTTATATGCATATAGTAAAAACTTATAAAATCTTCTTTTAAAGAACCCAAAGAGCTAGAGCTAAGATATTTAGCATGAGACATGTTCTAATGGGTGTCTACCAAGTATGTTCAAATAAAAGCCCTGGGGTCAAAACTGGCCCCGCCCCGGGGGTCATTGATTTTCCTTATATACATAGCAAAAACTTAAAAATCTTCTTTGAAAAAACCCAAATAACTAGAGTTTAGATATTAAGCATGCAACATCTTTAAGTAAATATCTACAAAGTTTGTTCAAATAAAAGCCCAGGGGTCAAAACTGGCCCTGCCCGAGGGGTGTCATTGTTTTTTACTCTATGTGTATAGTAAAAACTTAAAAAATCTTCTTTTAAAAAACCCAATGAGCTAGAACTTAGATGTTTTGCATGAAACATCTTCTTATGGGTGTCTACCAAGTCTGTTCAAATAAACAAATAAAAGCCCTTGGGTAAAAATTGGGCCGGGGGGGGGGCTATATACAGGTGAGCGACTTCAGGGCCATCATGGCCCTCTTGTTCATCAAGTCATTTGTAATGCTGCATTAAGCTACTTTGTCCATCATTTTATCTTGTTGCTAAAGGATATACTTTGTTGATCATTTAATCTTGTTGATAAAGGATATACTTTGTTGATCATTTTGTCTTGTTGATAAAGGATATACTTTGTTGATCATTTTATCTTGTTGATAAAGGATATACTTTGTTGATCATTTTGTCTTGTTGCTAAAGGATATACTTTGTTGATCATTTTATCTTGTTGATAAAGGATATACTTTGTTGATCATTTTGTCTTGTTGATAAAGGATATACTTTGTTGATCATTTTATCTTGTTGATAAAGGATATACTTTGTTGATCATTTTATCTTGTTGATAAAGGATATACTTTGTTGATCATTTTGTCTTGTTGATAAAGGATATACTTTGTTGATCATTTTATCTTGTTAAAGGATATATTTTTGTTGAGCATTTTATCTTGTTGATAAAGGATATATTTTGTAAATTTGAACAAATATGATTGAATATTAATTGAACTTTTAACTTCAATTTTTACAGTTATCCAATGATCCAAGTCCAGGTTATAATATTGAACAGTTGGCTAAAAAGTAAGTTTAAATTTAAATGATACAAGACTATAATAGATAATGATTTAAAGTTACTTATTCAGTATGAAAATGGTGACATTTTACACACAAAAGGTTCTATTTGTTTGTCATGTTGGATATTTTCTAATAAAGTAGGTAAACAATATTTAGCAGTTACATTACATGTGCTAGTTTTTGCTGGAAACAATTCACAGAGTACAGTTAAGTTTGGGCAGAAATTAAAATTACATAATATATATATGAAACACAACAAAGTTAAATTTTATCTTTAGAGGCACTTAGTAAACAGACTTTAAGTATTAGAATATACACATTTAATAATAAAGGTGAAAAAAATTTAGTTTTGTATATATTTTATTAGGAACTCGTGATAAGATTTTAGATAGGTCATAAATGTCCTCCAAATAATATCATATTTTAGTGCAACAGATGCTTTAGTAAAATTTAGTACAATTATATTTACAGAGGTAAAAAGTTCCTTGAGTTACCATACGCTGTAAAAGGAATGGATGTATCTTTCTCAGGGTTACTATCATATATTGAGGTATTTTATAGTCTTATATTTACATTAAACTAGGGTATAGGCACACCTGTGTTAAAGACCACCTGGATAAAAACAAATTGGAAAAAATATCTTCATAACTACACATTGATTTGATCAAATCTGTTGGAAGGAACCTTTTACCTTTAATATTATATAGCAACTTTATTAGCCATAACTTGTCTGAGGAATTGAAAGAAAAAATAACCTAAAATTTATTTGCAGGGAAACATAGGACATGTGTGTTTTATTTATTTGTCAGGAAACCTGACAGTGCTGGACATTTAGGGACATATTTCCTGTGTATTAACTTTATTGGAGTGTGCCCTTACGACAGATAGTATTTGAAATTTAAGTTAACACTATTTATTCTGTTTGGTTCTTTACATTCAGGGTGATACAAAATATCTCATATCTGTACTTTTTAAAGGAAAAGATGACTTAACACTGTGCTTTCTTTATCTTTATTTTCAAGAACGAAATTATATTTATGTACATGCCCAATGATAGTATTATCAGATCTTATCCCAGTGTTAGAATATTCCTTGAGAGACTGGTGGTGGTCACCCTGTAAATTAATCTTTGCTTTAGGTGTTAATAGTCGAATAATATTCTTTTATATTTTGAAACTGAAACTGTTTTATTTGCTTAAACGCCTATTTCTACATATAATACATATTCAATGGCGTTGTACAATATCACATCAGAACATTAAAAGTAATAAATAAATGTAGTTTAAGAATAATAAAACAATTAATTCTAAATCTAAATCTAAAACATGGTATCACAAATAAAAGAAAGTACATGTAATGTTATTTAAAATAATTAAAAATATGGCTATATTATTAAAGGACATGGTAAAAGACATGCAAATGTTACTTGGATAATAAATACATTGTAAAATCAGATATTCATCACAGAGGTAATGCGCAGAAAAACATTGTCTCTTAGTTTCTACACTTTACTGACTTTGACTAAAAAAGATTAAAATAGTCTCTGAAGAAATGAGTCTTCAAGTGTTTCTTGAAACTATCAACTGATGAGCATTGTCTGATATTTAATGGAAGATCATTCCAGAGTTTCGGGCCGATTGTACTGAAACTTCTGTCACTGAAAGTTTTACACTTATTAAAAGGCACTTCATAACTGTCAACTGAAAATGATGATGATCTCAGAGAACGTTTTTGAACTTTAGGTGTAAGCAGGTCGGTCAAATAAGTTGGTGCATTTCCAACGTGACAGTTGTACATATATACAAGAATCTTGAATTGTATTCTGGCCTTATTTTACTTTTACTGTAACGAAGATCCCTTTTTATAGAAGTTTATGCAGAATTTATTTTAGTTTGTTGTGTAGAAGACTGTAAGCTTATTGAAGCACTCCAAAATTTGTTCCTGGAACCAACCAGTATTGGCAATGAGTGTAAAATTTCTTCCTCAGTGAAACAATGACTTGCCACTGACATGGTTTGAACCCATGTATTCAGCAACCTGTTGATTATTAGTCTGGCATATTAAATACTCGAACATGATACTGCTATAATTATCTCAAATTCTTAGCGTCACCTAGTTATAATCTGGTATTGTTTGTTACATGTAGTTGCAAATGCTTTATGTAGTATACATCATCATCCCAGTGTAACTGTAACCTTGAGTAAGACACTAAGATCACTAGGTCAACACTCCCCTCACATCCTTTTAAGTTTTCAGGCATTTGTCTAAAGTTCAGATTTTTTCTACCCTTGAAAGCTTTATTTTTCTATATAAAACCAATTGAAATGATACTAAATTTAGGATTTTAAGGTTTTCTGATACATTTTAACTTACACCCATGCCCTTGAGTACATTTAGTATTGTTGATAACAGATATATGTAAGAATTATATGATTTTCTCATTTTACAGGAAAAGGCTGTTGGTCTTATTGAATCCGGTGAATATACACCAGAAGATTTATGTTTCTCACTACAAGAGACAGTGTTTGCTATGTTGATAGAGATTACAGAGCGAGCAATGGCACATTGTGGTTCACAGGAAGTCCTCATTGTTGGAGGTGTAGGATGTAAGTATGTTTATATACTGGACTTCTTTAATGCTTTATTTTTTGTAGTAATGTGAGGCATTTATTTCATTAAGAAAGTTAGGGCCTGATACAGGAACTTTCCAGCATTGTTTGTGTAAGACACCTTCATAATTACCTACATGTAGCAGTATAATTCAAGGTGCAGGCTGGAGTGGAGACTGGCTATAAACACCATGAGCTAACTAGATACATCCCTCTCTTAGTGTAACTGATTGGAGGAGGTTTGGTGCAGGGTAAAGCAGTCTATATCATCAATATGTGTACAAACTGTCTATAATATGAGGTGAATATACATTGTTGAGTACAATATTGATTTCTATTGGACAAGTGCACAACTGTTAAACCTTTATTAGACAATGTGCTAGCCGAGTCTGATTTAGGTTTTACAGCTTTGTATGAGAACAATAGAATCAGTATTGCTTTCAACAACGTATAATGACCTTTTTTTTCACCCTATCATTTTTAACATTTTGACAGAATTTTATTACTTCAAGTACAGTAAGGATTTGATATGGATTTTTTGGACACTGAAAATAAAGAAGGTGGTTTGATAGAATATGATAGTCATTTGATATAGATGTTTTGAACCCTGAAAAAGAAAACCAGGCTGTATGGGTTACAATGTCCATTTGATAAGGATTTTTTGAACTATTCGAACTCTGAACAAGGCTAATATGATAAGTTTAGATTCAATAATGATTTCTATTGGAACATCAAATGAATGATGCAAATGCTGAAATATCATTGGTGATATTTTATAAGGTGTGAAATGATTGATTGATATTTCACAAACATTTTATGATTTTTTATGTTATATTAGGTGCAGGGCTATCAGAAATGATGTTGTAAGAATGATTAACACAAGATGTCTAACCTCTTAATTTGTAGGCCACACAGAGGACAAAAAAAAACAACAAAAAAAATTTCATTAAAGCAGTACGCCTCCAGATTCATGGTAATTTCCATGAAAATTTTGAAAATGTATTTGAATGTGTAATATTGTGAAGAAATCAATCATTATCAATGGCACTTACAAACCACATAAATTACCAAAAAGTGGTCATAATATGCATAAATAGCCTTTACTGTGTTAGTTACGCAGTAGAAATATAGTTGTGAATACTGAAAAATCTGTTATTAATTGCACATAATATGTAAATATTACTTGAATCTTGTAACTTTTTACTTTACTTTTTACCATACATCTTAGTACATTTTTCCTAAGTTTGATTTTATTGAAATATTTTGACTCATCTGGAGGCATGTAGCTTTAAGAATATAAAATAGTATAGTAACCCTTATCGTGTTGGAGTCATGTGATTTGCCAGGCTAGTATGTACACAAATGCTGTTTCACCAAGCTTTATACTGGTTGTCTGTATTTTGATACTGAAATCCTTTAAACTTTGAATGACCTTATCCAAATTCAAATCATGACAAATCTTTAACATAAAGTCAGCATGTAAAGGTTAATCATTATTTGTATAAGTATATTGGTTTATCAGTACTTGTGTTATATTATATCATGTATTTTATAAATGAGCAGGTAATGAGAGGTTACAAGAGATGATGTATATTATGGCAAAAGAGAGAGGAGCTCATTTATATGCCACAGATGAAAGGTAAATAACAATATAAAATATTGTACCAATTCCATCTTAAGAAAAATCTGTTTAAAAAGTCACTTAAAAGTACATTTTTTCTGCTTCTGCCTTCATGAACAGTAAATTTGATGTGAAAAAATATATATATTCTTTATCATTGAGGAAAAGCTTAAAATAAACGATTGTTTCTTGCACAAGAAAGGATAGATAGCCTGAATTTTATGTGGTATTTTTGCTTAATTCTGTTTTCAATTTGTTTTCTTGGCCACAAAATTGCAAAAACACAAAGATACGCTAGTGGCAAAAAAAGTAACATGGCATATATCAGCTACCATAATGACATGGTTTTTTTCTGCAATAACTGTGGTTATTTTACTACATATGATATCCAAACCACCCATCTTACAATTAGTTAGATTCTCACAATGTTACATTTGGTATACTGTCTAACATCATAAAGTTTGTTTAATTCAGATTTTGTATAGATAATGGAGCTATGATCGCACAAGCTGGTTATTTGATGTATAAGTCAGGACAGACAACCTCACTGGCAGAAACATCATGTACACAAAGGTATTATACATTTCAATTTTAAGCTCAATAGATCGTGTTAGTGCTCAAGGTTATAGATATTTTGTGATCATAAACTCTCCAGAATCCAGCAGTACATCTTTTCACACTTTTCTTTATGAATTATATACACTTAAACCATCGGGTCACTATTATACAATACTTTATAGCATTGTTCCAACGATGATCCTCTTTTAAAGCACCATTCAATGCAGAATAACCCTGGTTGCCATGGTAACCAAAAGAAAAATTAATAAAATGACTTTAAAATCTCTATGTCAAAAATACTTGGTCTGATTTTGATAATATTTCAAGGAAATAATCATTTAGTGACCAGCTTCCAAAATTGATCAAATAAGTTAGAAACATGGCAATTAGTTGTTCTGGTCTATTTAACCTATAATTGTACTGAGAAACTTTGTAAATCTTCTCCTTTATAATTTTGATATTATTTCACAAAAATTATACTTGTGTGATCATCTACCAATATTATACAAATAATTTTGTTTAGTTTAAAACATAGTAGCTAGTAGGCTTACTTTTCCCTTATATGTATATATGTATATGATGCATTGAAACATGTTCCAGATCAATATATCTTGTAAAATCCAACTGAATCATCGTATCACCAAAATTCAATTCAATAACTAATAAAATAGCCTTTAATTAATTATTACTAGCCTTCAATTAATTGTCAGCTTCATTAAATTATAATAATATAGCCTTCAATCAATTATAAAATAGCCTTATTATATGTTTCAATTGTAACTAATTCAATAATATCTTCCTATAATTTCCTATTATCCCCTCATACACAGGGAACTATAAATGTATAATATGTTGTTGATAGAAATATGATATGAAGTATATTTATTTGTCAAACAGGTTTAGAACAGATGAGGTGGAGGTAACATGGCGGGACTGAGATATGGGGCAGACCGTGAGCTGAGCTCTTGAACTAATAGTCAGCTCTTTGACTCAAAGTGAGCTCTTGGACTAATAATGACCTCGTGAACTAACAGAAATCACTGTGACTAACAGAAAGCTCTGTAACTAACAGAAGGCTCCATGGAAAATGACCGGATATAATTCAGTGTAACAGAATGAGCAGTATGTGACAGTGTTGATAAAGACAGCATCCAAGACAAATATAAATGATAATCTGATACATTGTAATATGTCATTTACAACTGCATTACTCGTATCTTGCTAAATAAATCAATTTGTATATATTGATGGCTTGCTTCTTTTCACCAGTTATTTTACTCTACTCTGTTCAACTGTCAATATGAAATGATGTCTTTTATTAATGTTCATTAATTCCGACTATTATAAAGATAAGATATATTACTATTTTCTATATATCTGAATTATCTAAGGTAGCCATAGTGATTGTTATAACATTCTTCTTTCTATGATAATGATGATAAGCTTGCAGTATACAAGACTTAATTCTGTCCTAGGCCTGTACATTATATACAATCTTAAAGTGACATTATGCCAATCCAAGTGTGAATGGTAAGTCCAAAGGTAAAACTGAAAATTACTTCACATTCTGCTAGAATTATGTTCAATTTGATATTTTACTATGCAAAAATAATCAATAATCCATGTGGCCCATGGAAATTTCTATGAATATTGTTGGGAATGTATGGGTAGCGTTTGATTTTTAAAGAGTGGGGCAGTCTTTTTAGTTTAGGTTGTTTTTATATTTTATTTTTCATTAACAATTACTAGTCGATTATCCTTACAAAACTCAATCTTTTAAAATATATAACTAATTCAGGACAACTTGATGGTCAAAAACAATGAGCATACTGGTCGGAGAGATAACTCCGCAATGAATCACTTATTTTTTGCTGTATCTTAACTGTCTTTGTGTATATTTCAAACATTGACCTATCAAAACAAAAGTTGGTTCTAAGACTGAAGGATGCACTACAAAATTGTTTATGAAAATGGTAACTTGTACATTCTTTACTTCAAGATCCTGAATGAGGTATACATAGCATGGTCTTTTATCCCATAACAGTAGATAAAGTCTACACTAATTTTAAAGTCAAAATTAGCTGGAAAATCGGCATCATTTATATGTTTTATCTATCTTTATATGCCTGAAAAATCTGTAAAATTTACATGAATCATGCACTTGGGGTAAAATAATGCATCCAACTTGGAGGTCATACAGTATCATAAGGATATTTAAGATAAAGCATTTTGAGACAAGTTTCTGGATTGGGTCTCTACCCTAATTGAAAGATTATTTTTGATTCCTCGAATTTACATTCGTGTGTTAATTGCCCTGCCTTTGCGGTGCTCTTGTATGTTGGTATCTTGATAATCTTTTCAAAATTCTTTCCCTTGTCAGTTGCCTGTCATCAAAACAGTTCAAACTTTATCATGGTGATTTAGTTAAAGAACATTTTGAGGCAGGTTTTGTGAACAAAAAGTTGAGGTCATTTGATACACATTAAATTTTTTACCAAATTTGACATTTCTTTTATGTAATAATCCTGTATTACTAGATGACCATGTGCTTGTTGAAAATCAATGTTTTAACTAATATTTATCAAGTCTTGGGGTTATCTATGTGTCGGGAGTTATCTCTACATCCAGTAATGTCATTTTAACCTTGATTTGAAGAAGGTTCGAAAGCAATTGGTAATTTTCCCGAGAAAAGGGGAAGTTTCAGTCACCTTGTTGATAGATATGTTTAATATCAGTCATTATATCAGTGGTCCTTCATACATTACACAAATTCACACGTTATAAATAAACTATATCACAATTTATTTTCAATAAAACATTTATTTTATCATTCATAACATTCTACAAGAATGATCTTAACAACTGTAATAATGAACAAGTCATCATTAAAACATTACGAAAGAAATTGTAAACTTATTTATCTATACATGATCACACATTATTTAACCTTGACCCTTCATGATCTGTTGTATAATATTGGCAAATTTTAACTAGTAATTTACTTAAAATACCAACAATTAACTAGTGTACCATGATTTTTAAGTAAAAGATCATATCTATACACATATAACAGCTTAAAAACTAAAATTGAAATGAAAAAGAACTTTTCAAATAATTCTTTTGTGTCGCTCAAAGCTAACAATTCTAGCAGCATTTTAGTAAGCATAAATTTTTATGCATTCTTAATTGTGCCAATCCAATCCACTGGAAAAAGAACATAGGTAATGTACCTGAAGACTTGTGCCATGTTTCCAGTGATGTATAAAGAAAACTTGTGAATCTGTAAAACGCTATATTTTTTTTTTAAGTTGAAAAATTTGTTATTCAGTACAATTCCATCCTAAAACTGTGAGTGGTGGCAACTGACATCTATAGTGACTCATATGGAGATTATCCATTCTTAGTAAAGGAAGACCTCAGGTGACACTCCCAGCATTAATTCAAGCAAACAACAATGACACCTCAGTAGAACCAGTGACCTTCCATAAGCTAGGTTGACAGTTTTCTCCTATGAAAAAATCCCAAGTCTCGAGCAGAATTTTAACCCGCAGAGGTGGGGCAAGTTGTTCAAAATCAGAATATCTTCAGTTTATAATGAGAGTCTTTAAGTTCAACTCGAAAAATTCACCAAATGTTACACAAAGACAATGCCAGACTAAGTATGTTGGCTCCACTATCCCTATGGTAAAAACTATAATCTCTCTGAAATTTAAGTGAACAAGTCCTTTGATGTGTTACAGACATTGACACAATAACTCACTGTCTGAAAATAACCTGTTAAAATATTGTTAGGCATCCCGCAATTCAGTGTACATGTATCAGGATAGTAAGTAGCCACTCACGCCGGACAAGTACTCCATTTATATAAGTGACAGGTTTTACTTTGTTACTGTTTTGGCTACTTTCTCTTTACCATTTGCACATGTCATGTCATCAGTGTCAATAAGATATGGTTTACACTAACCATATTTTATCATCACACTTTCATACATTATTATATATGTACTTGTTTTCTTGTACTATTTTAATGAGTGGAATCAACTTAAATTTGAAACAAATTCCTTTAAATGAATGCACATGTGTATTGTCTGGACACATTAATTTAAATAAATGTGGAGCACTTGTTTATAATACAGTTCATTGCTTGGCTGCTGCTCTAATTCTATCTGTTTTCTTGCTGTTCTTTTTCGTAGGATCATATTGGTATGTTTTTGGCACAGGGCCAACTCCTGCATTTTTGAATGTCGTTTCATCAATTCTTTGTCTTTGCACTAACTCTGCAGCTAGTTTACTATTGTTGTAGGCTAAAAGAAAAAGGAAATAAATAAATAGGTAAATAATTACATACACTGAAAGATATCACCCTCTAAGATATGGCCCTTGACTGTATTCAAAGTTTAAAATTATTCATAATGTTTTGTCATTCCAGCAACATAAATTAGATTAATATGTTAGAATAATCATACAGTTTCACTGTAGATAGTTTTTTTACACCGAGTCAGTGATACACTGAAGTGTATCAGATTTCAATGTACAGTTTTATTTATAAACCTGTTGCTGGGAGTATAAAATATATCTACATGTAAAGGTCAAATCGTTTAAGCTAACAAATATGCGAGTTTTGAGAGAGATTTTACATCAGTTTAGGAGAGACACGCTGATAGTGTGTAGCGTTTATTTTTTTGTTGAGAAGAGAATTTGTTGTTTTGTTGGTTTGTTGAAGTTGGTTGAATATAATTGTGGTGATCTTAATTGATCAGGGTTTATTGGTTGTTATTAGTTGTTTTGGTTGTTGAGTTATAATATAATTGGTTGATATTGGTTGAATGTTTGTCTGGTCAAGATTATATTAGTTGATGCTTTGTTTTGAGGATATATGTAAATATTGGGTGCTTTAGTTTAAGTTGTTTTCTGATGCTGATTAGATTGTGTGAAGTTAATATTGTTGGATGAATGTTTGTGGTTTAAACTGTATCTTAGAGTTGTAAAAATAGTTATTTCTGTGTTCTTCATTTTGTGGTGATTTTATTGTTTTGTTTGATCATAAGTTGTTTAGAGCTTGGGCTCGCCAGGTGTCTAGTATTGTTTCGTATAAAAGACGTATATGTGAAAGATATTTCGTATAAGTGGCTGATAAATGACGTGTATTTGTTTTGGGTGTAAATAATGATCAAAGTTCTTTGTTTTGGGTGTAAATAATAGTCAGAGTTTGTTGTTTAAATGTATATATTGATTTGAGATAGAAAAAAGATAAAAATAGCTAAAAAAATAGTGTTAATTAAACAATTACATGCTAGTTTTCCAACTGAGAATATTTCACTTTTATGTCAGGCGGTGCTGCCCAGCCCCCATATCTTGGAAATTGCTTCTAGTATTTATTACTAAATCTTTCCTTAGATTAAATAACATCAAGGCAGACATTTCTCCTGACAAAATATTTATTGATTATTGATAAAATCATCTTAAAGTCTTGAACTGACTTGGTGCATACTAATGCAGTTATATAGAAATGTTACCCTAAACAAGAACATTATTAGTTTTAAAGGTTTTTGACTGGTTATATGGCCCAATATAAATGGTTGTTTGGAAATTTAACCCAAGCTGCTAGGTCTTGGTTATATTGCAAACAACTATTTATATAAGGCCATATAACCTGTCAGAAATGTTAATAACAAATTTATAATACAGCAAGTATCTTCTTTTAGAGAAAAAAAGTGAGATTTCTTCATAAATTGACAGTAGCCGTGTATACAAAACTATATAAACGTCACGATTATCCAATGAAAAGCGACATTACAAACGTGCAGTATTATAATATTATATAAAAAGACTTAAATATAGAGTTTTGTGTGTTAAAGAACCTTTAATATTTCATCTATTGACTTTTCACAGGTGAGTCATCTATTGCCATGATGTCCCTCTTGTTTCATGTCATTACCTTCTTGAAATCCTCCAATAAATTTCTTGTTCTGTCTTGTTTCTGTTTTTTTGTGTATAACATCATCTGGGATATTAAACAGCTTCTTGACTCTTGGTTGTTTCAATATAAGTACTGTTACCAAACTGATGAAGTTGTTAACTGACCAGTAAAATGCAATTCCCTACAAATAACAAACGATGCATTTAAACTGCATAGAAAGATATACAAGCAAATGTAAGGACATGTATGATCCAAAGAAAGAATAAGTTAAAACAAGAGCTGTCGGTAGGACAGCAACGCTCGACTATTCTTAGTGCTTGATAGTAAAAAAAGCCTTGATTAAAAAGGTAAAATTTTCTAAGTAAAGAAAAAGGCAAATTTTTTCTTTAAATCCATATAACAGTTATAGGCCTTGGAGAGGGTCCTATTATGCTCTCAAAGAAGAGTATAAAATTTCAACATGTTTCAAAGCCTTATGTCAATGAACTTTGAAAATATTTAAGGTATAAAAAAAACTTTAACGTAAATTCTAAGTCGAAAAAGGGGCATATTTCTGTCAAAATGCTTGATAGAGTTACCTCCTCCTGTCTACAGGTTGGGGTCATGATGGTGAACAAGTGTGCAAAGTTTCAAAGCCATATGTCAATGGACTTTGAAAATATTTGAGGTATTACAAAAACTTTAACATAAATATTCTAAGTCGAAAAAGGGGCATAATTCTGGCAAAATGCTTGATACAGTTACCTCCTCCTGTCTACAGGTTGGGGTCATGATGGTGAACAAGTGTGCAAAGTTTCAAAGCCATATGTTAATGGACTTTGAAAATATTTGAGGTATTACAAAATATTTAACATAAGTGGTTACGCCGACGCTCGGGTGACTACAATAGCTCTACTTATTCTTATCGAATAGTCGAGCTAAAAAATATGTAAAAGTCACAGAGATACCCTGAAAACAACAAGAACTGTCGGTGTGATAGTGTGCTAAAAACTATTCTCAGTGCTTGATAGTTAAGTGAAAGTCTCGATAATGTAGAAGTGAACATACACACACAAAAAGATTTCATTAAAAAATTACATGATACAGGTTATATTTAGTCTTGAATATTGACCAAAGAATTCTATGTTCACAAAGGGCCATATTTTGTTCAAAATTCATGCTAAAAGTTTTGTGCCTTCCACATTGACCTCCAAATATGATCTATAATACATGTATATGCGTTAAGTTTTATGTGGCAGTGGATAGCTACAATAGTTTTGAAGATTGATGTTGCGTGCAAAGTTTAACCAATAATTTTATTTCACAAAGGTAAATAATTCAGTCAAAATACATGTCAGATTTATATAGACATTGGACAGTTAGGAATATATGTCATCAGACTGATGGGCTCATTTGGAAAGGAAATTACCAACATTTTCAGCTTAAATATATAACATTGTCAGCTTATAAACTTATACTTGGAGAGGGATTTTCAGTGTCATAAGCTCATCAAGTAGAGTAGGAAGTTAAACAATGCACCTGTCAGGTGGAAAAGCATGTCTCAACTGTATAAAGAGAGAAAGTTACCCTGAGATTGCAATAGGGAGAGTGGTTTTCAGTCTCCAGCCTAGTTAGAATAGAGATTGTTAGCCTAATAAACTCATTGTCAGCCTATTATGCATGTTGTCAGCCTTCTAAGCCCATTGTCAGCCTAATCTGATTATTGTCAGCCTTATATGCTTATTGTAAGGCTATTAAGATCACAAGGGACAGCCATTGTCCGATTTATCAACTCAGTAGGTGTAACTTGTATCTACTGGTCCACTCTCTATATTTAGATTGGTAAAGCAGACGTTTTGTTTCCTGAACTTCTATTTTTAGAAATGAAAGTCACTTAAGCATTATAAACAGCTCTCGGGATGCTGTTTTGAAGAGCTATTAACAGTGATGTGATGTACTTTTCCAAATGGTTAAATTATTTCTGCTTTAATCACAAACAAAGTAATTCACAGGTATAAAATAATTCATGCTTAGATGTTTTGACCAGAATTGATGAGAAAATTACTTACTGATGAAAATTTACATGTGAACAAAAACACTAGAAATGGCATGCCACGCATTGCCCACTTTGCTATATGACCCATATCCTGTGTTCTCTGGGCTTCTGCTCCAAGCTACAAACAAGAAAAAATGAGAACAAAAACATATATAGTATAATATCTCTATAAAAATGAAAAGGAAACATATGTTATCAACTTCCCTGTATTACAAGATCCAGCCAGAATGTATGTAATAAACATATACATAGCAATAATCTGTGTCAACATTTCAAACAAACAAAAATACATCAAGATTACCTAAACAATATAACAATGATACCTTAAAACATATTCATGTTGTGTTTCTATGGTAACAAGGGATGTTTGTTAAACTATGACCCACCTATCCTAACAGCACACAGTTATATTATATGATATGTTCAATCTTTACACTAAATATAACACCATTCTGTACAACAAAATAGTCTCCAGTTATTGATCAGCCAAGCTTTATGTAGTCAATGTCACAGTCACCTTAAACTCGCTGACTTCAAAATTATCTTCAACAAGTCATAATCAAATTCTCAACCAAAATTTAACAACTGAAGGTCAAGTAATCTTTGGTTATTGATAATAAGTTTTTGTGGTTATAACATTTGCAGCTGTCATATTTTCATACTTCTGCATATTTCATAAAGGTCAACTGTTATGTTTGTGTTAAGCTCTTAATGTGATTACAATTGTTTGCAAACAATTAAGAATATATTCAATAATTTAAACAGCACTTAAACAAAGCAAGAGCATTTTAACAATTTTTTTTCTGGTACTTTGCAATCATAAAGACTCCAACATTTAAGTGTTAAGAATTAAGCCTTTGCTAGGGGTATGGCACATTATATCTACTGAAGTGACCATCATTTAACAAGAATAATCTTGTAAAGGTAACATCAATCAATCAATCAATCCAATCAATCAAATCAATCAATCAATCAAAACAAATCAAACTAGCACTATCACTAAATGTGATTAATACCCCACAAGTCTGCTTCGGAAATGAGGATGTTACTAGTAACAGAATACCTTGTAATAGAATTGAAACATAGAGTTATGGTTGTGGGCAATTAAAGATAATTGTGATTCATGTATGTTGCATTTCCTTTCAATGTGGTTGGCCATTGATGAAGTTTAATTGAATTACTCTGTAATAAGTCCAGAAAGACAAAGAAAAAGAACAAAGGGCAATAACTCTATAAATACTGAAGATAGAGTTATAGTTCTTGTGCACTGCACTTCCTCTTATTGTGCTTGACCATTGTATGAAGTTGTTTTGAATTCCAACCAGTACGTTTTAAGTTATGCTCCGGACAAGGAAAAGTATCAAAGGGCAGTAACTCTGTATTTTGTCAAAATGGAGTTATGGCTCTTGTGCACTGCACTTCCTTTTAATGCCCTTGACAATTGTATGAAGTTGTACTGAGTTCCAAACAGTAGTTTTCAAGTTATGCTCTGGACAAGGAAAAGTAACAAAGGGCAATAACTCTGTAATTAGTCAAGATGGAGTTATGGTTCTTGTGCACTGCACTTCCCCTTATTGTGCTTGACCATTGTATGAAGTTGTTTTGAATTCCAACCAGTAGTTTTCAAGTCATGCTCTGGACAAGGAAAAGTAACAAAGGGCAGTAACTCTGTAATTAGTCAAGATGGAGTTATGGTTCTTATGCACTGCACTTCCTCTCAATGTGCTTGACCATTGTATGAAGTTATAATGAATTCCAACAATAAGTCTTCAAGTTATGGTCTGGACAAAAGAAAGCAATGGAAAAGTAACAAAGGGCAATAACTCTGTAATTAGTCAAGATGGAGTTATGGTTCTTGTGCACTGCACTTCCCCTTATTGTGCTTGGCCATTGTATGAAGTTGTTTTGAATTCCAACCAATAGTTTTAAAGTCATGCTCTGGACAAGGAAAATAAACAAAGGGCAGTAACTCTGTAATAAGTCAAAATGGAGTTATGGTTCTTGTGCACTGCACTTCCTCTCAATGTGCTGGACCATTGTATGAAGTTATAATGAATTGCAACAATCAGTTTTCAAGTTATGGTCCGGACAAAAGAAAGCAATGGAAAAGTAATAAAGGGCAATAACTCTTTAACTGCTTTAGATAGAGTTATGGTTCTTATGCACTGCACTTCCTCTCAATGTGCTTGACCATTGTATGTAGTTATATTGAATTCCAACCATTAGTCTTCAAGTTATGGTCCGGACAAAAAAAAGAAGGCAATGGAAAAGCAACAAATGGCAATAACTCTGTAATTACTTTAGATAGAGTTATGGTTCTTGTGCACTGCACTTCCCCTTATTGTGTTTGACAATTGTATGAAGTTGTTTTGAATTCCAACCAGCAGTTTTCAAGTTATGCCACGGACAAGGAAAAGTAACAAAGGGCAATAACTCTGTAATTAGTCAAGATAGAGTTATGTTTCTTACGCACTGCACTTCCTCTCAATGTGCTTGACCATTGTATGTAGTTATATTGAATTCCAACCATTAGTCTTCAAGTTATGCTCCGGACAAGGAAAATGCAACGACAAAAAAAAAAAGCAATTGAAAAGCAACAAAGGGCAATAACTCTGTAATTACTTTAGATAGAGTTATGGTTCTTGTGCACTGCACTTCCCCTTATTGTGTTTGACAATTGTATGAAGTTGTTTTGAATTCCAACCAGTAGTTTTCAAGTTATGCCCCGGACAAGGAAAAGTAACAAAGGGCAATAACTCTGTAATTAGTCAAGATAGAGTTATGGTTCTTGTGCACTGCACTTCCTCTCAATGTGCTTGACCATTGTATGTAGTTATATTGAATTCCAACCATTAGTTTTCAAGTTATGCTCCGGACAAGGAAAATGCAACGGACGTCTGGACCGACCGACCGACCGACCAACCGACCACCGGGTGACTCCTATATACCCCCCCAAACTTCGTTTTTGGGGGTATAATCACATAAAGTGTCAGTTTGATCCCCACTTAATGACCTCAAAACCAAGTTACATAAACCACAGCTTATACCTTCTCAAGAAATTGATTGGACAAGGTATATATGGAAGGATGTGTGGTCCCACTACCTTATCATATACTTGCTATTTTTTAGGTAACAATTAACAATTTATCACCACTTCTTTGAATGGGGACATAATAATAACTTAACTTGCCTCTCAAAATAATAGCTGCATGTATCTGAAATATTTTTGCTAAAGCTTAAAATGTTACTAAAGGTAGACTCGAATCATAATTAATTGATCACTTAGCAAAAATGTTTGCTTTATAAAATATCAAAAAGGAAAAACAATATCACAAATGTGGTTTATAAAAGACTACACTCCTAGGACTTCAGTGACAAATAAGGTTCTGTCCGATCTTAAATTATTAAATGTCAATGATAGAGTTAGACAGTTAAGACTCAACCACATTCATAAAGTTTATTACAACAAAAGCCCTTCTTATTTAAAGGAATTGTTTAAGGTTTGTAGAATATCCAATTTAAGATCCAGTAATTTTAATTTTGTTTTACCTCAAAATGATTTCTTATGTTAAAAATACATTTTTCTACAATGCCATTAAAGACTGGAATTCTTTACCAGACAACAATTAGATCAATTGACAATATCCAAACATTTAAAACGAAAGTAAAAACTTTTTTTAAGTAATGAAATGATAAACAAGTGAATAATATGTTTATTTATTATTAAATTGATGTGTAACTTATGATAAGGTTTTGAAAATGTGTATGTGTACTTGATATGTTTTAGTTTTAAAAGAAATTTATTTCATTTTGTTTGTGTACAATGTACTTGTCTTATTATATTGAAAAATGTGTTTTGATTATTGAAAATTGTCATTAAGTTTAACTTCTTTATAACTCATTTATTATTATGTAAGTCAGTGTAATAATTTTACAGAAAATGGACCCCATTGGAAATAAGCTTTTAGCTTAATGGGCAATCCTAGGGTTACATAGAACATACTTATTAATTAATCTTATAGTTATTTTTGTGCATTTATGTGTGTGTTTTTTATATATATGCAAGTTGATATCTGTGATAAAATTGTATGTGTATACATGTATGTCTATTCCCTGAATAAATCGATACGATAATTAATTGATCACTTAGCAAAAATGTTTGCTTTATAAAATATCAAAAAGGAAAAACAATATCACAAATGTGGTGATCACTTGGCAAAAATTTCATTCACAACATTTTTATAAGCAAATACATCTATATTCTATTTAAGAAGACTTTTTCAATGACTTTTTATCTATTGTTAAGTAATTGAAACAGTGTCAAACTAAGTGTGCTAAATTCCACAGTATCACAATCTAGGCCAGTATGTGTTTATATTATTAGTTATAAAGATTGTTGACAGGTTATATGGCCCTATATAAACGGCTATTTATAAATATAACCTGAGCCGCTAGGCGAGGGTTATATAGCAAACAGCCGTTAATATACGGCCATATAACCTGTCAATAATCTTTATAATGAATTTATAATACAGCAAGCATCATTTTTTAAAGAAAAAAGTAAGATTTCTTCATGAATCGACAGCAGCCGTGTATAAAAAACTATATAAACGTCACGATTATCCATTGAAAAGTGACGTTACAAACGTACAGTAATATAAAATTGATTCTTTCTAATGAAAGTTCTAAGAGTATGTACAACATGTGTCTTGCTTTATAACAGAAATTTTGGCCAACTAAATTACTTTTAACAATGGGATCAAATGAAAATATTGACAGTAAAAGAGTTGCTCAGATTTGTTCTAGACATATGTCCATGCTAGCTTTAACATTTCCTCTCATTTGTAATGTTGTGAGTAAATTGAAAAATTTAACAAAGGCAAGTGCTTTTCAACTTTTCTCATACAAATTTATTTTTGTTCTTTTATGTTGGAAGCTATAAGCTTATTGAAACACTCTTGAATTCGTTCTTAGAACCAACCAGTGCTTAGCAATGAGTGTAACGTTTCTTACTCATGAAAACAACAGCTTGCCCTTGACATATTTGAACCCATGTGTCCATCAATCCTTTGATTACTAGTCCGACACATTTACCACTTGACCATGCCATCATTTACTTTCAAATTAGCAATTTTTACAGCATTATGTAATTTATATGAAGATTTACCTCCAACATAGCAAGTACAGATAATGCGGCACAAGCTGGGAGAATGTAGGTTGGGTCTGGAACAGTAAGATCTGTAAACCAAAGCATTCCACCTGTCTTCATGCTCTCAACTGGTAAGTTACTCATACTTGTTATACCTCGATATACTGACACAAATATTGGCAACTGAAAAAGAATGTAAGTTTTTAAATATCTTCTTCAACCACATACCTGAGCCATATTTTTCTGTTTGTTGAATACATGCATATAACTTTGTAATGCAACAACCAAATGACACAATTTTTTACACATGGCTATTGTAAACTTGTTGTCAAGGTTAACAATGCACATGATTTGTATATATATATACCAAGCTGAGATTTAACAACAGAACAAAATATTGTTTTCAATATGGCTGACATTATGTAAGTACATGACAAAATAATTCTTGAATAATTAGGTGAAACATTTTCTCAAAAATTCTTTTGCTTAATAATTTTTATACTTTAGCGACAGTGCAAATAGAACA